CCTCTGTCTCTATACAAGAACCCTACGTTGAAAGGCAACCGTCTGGAATGAGTGGGTGTAGGGAAAAAGATATTTAGAGGGATGGGTGAAACTGCTAAACTCTTTGTGGGTATCTCCAGCTCTGCGAATGTGCCACGTACTGCTCCCTTAGAGGAGGAATTCACGATAGGACGAAGGTCAGGGGGCTAAGGGAGAACTTCCTTGTGTAAAGTCCCAGCCGTGACTCTCCTTATCTGTTAGAGTTGCGGAACGAACATGACGCAGTCGCGGTATCGAAGATATGCGCCCAGGGCGATCCAACGATGCTTCCTTCCGCCGCCATTGGCCCGGTACCACCTCCGACCACCGTCCCTCCCCTTATCGTGTCGTCGTAGTCGCTAGCCTGAGTACCCGGTCAGCGCTGCGAAGAGGGCAGCCCGATGAGCAGTCACATCAAATGCGGCAAATCAACCAGGCAAGAACTGGAAACCGCTTTCCGCCCGATCATGGAAAATTGCCTTTGTAGAGCCCAGACCTCCATTCTTGTAAAGCGCACATTTCTTCTTTTTTAAGCATTCGAAATATCATGAAAACTGCTCACCAGCGCAATGGGGACGAAACAGCCGATTGTAGATTTCGATTGAAACTGCGAATCTACGCTCAAATTCTGTGACATTCTGAAAAAATTCTATAAATTGCCTTTATGGGATAACTACTGTTTTGCGCCGCAGTTCGCGTTGCGAAAGTTATCACAAGAATGCTGAGTTGTGGGCAAAACTTTCGCCCCAGCCGGGATTCGTACCCGGATCTCTTGCTTTCCGGGCAATTGTGCTACCAGTTACACCACCGGGGCACCATTTCACCCCAACTCAGCTTCGAATGGTGAAGTTACCATAGCTTATCAGCATTTGAACAACACTAATAACGTGTACCGGTAGCCGATTGGCAGCCCAACCGCAAGACTAAAGCCTCAATAACATTACCTTCGAAAATTTGAAAGGAAAATTGGCATTGGCGGAGTGGGAAACCATGAACTTGTACACGGAATAATATGTGAAAAAATCGTATTTTGATAGGGTCGAAAAAAACGTGAAATATGCATGATTTGTGATTCAAACATAAGATCAACCGTTGAAAGCGTACTAGAAAGTCTAGAGATTTTTTCAAATCAAATCTTGAATTTCAATGGCCTCATGCAAAGTGAGTTGATAAGTTGAATATTGTCAGAAATCGAACTGTGAAAGGCGATGGTAGCTTGAAGAATACAAAAGCTCACAGCACGTGTTAAAAGGTCAATTCTACTTGAATGGATTGCTGAATATGAAATCCGGTAAGGTTCGAAAAGTGTGTTCTTTCAATATGTGCCTGAAATAAAACAATTATTCTCAAGGTTCGAGCAGCTATTCGAACATTCAATCCACGGGAGAGAAAATTCGTTGAAATAGACAAAAAATTTAAAGTGAGTTTTTCATTGGAGGCTGGAAAAAAACACGATTTTATGGTTGTGCTTCAGGCCAGCTTATTTCGCAACACTGTTGTTGAACTGAAGGAATTCGGTTTGACGCTGGTCGACTACAAGAACTATATTCAAAGCTGTTTCAATTGGGATTCAACGACCAGATCGGTGACGGCGCTTTCGGTATTTCCGATGCTACTCCTTCTTTGTGTTGTTTTTTTTTCTTGTTGATTATTGGAAGACGGGAAAATGGCAATTAGCGCCACAGCACACTATCTATTAATCCATGGATCAAATTCGGCTCTTTCTTCGGGCTAAGCCAATATTTGACAGCGTACCTTCAAGACTCGGATTTGACGTGTATCAGATTCTGACTTATCGTCAGGGTTTATTAGAACTAACTCAGTTTACTCAAAACCCCTCTAGATCGGCTGGCTGATTTGGCAATGGTAAAGAGAAGAGCAAAGGCTTTTCCTGATTTCCATGAGAAAAAGTAATGTTATGTAGTACGAAGACCTTAAGACTAATCGCGCAAGCGCAAGAAAAAGGGATGACTTGGGTGGGACGCGTTACCCGCGTCACAATGTCCCACGAGGTGCGCAAAGTGGGACCGCGTTGCCGCGTCAACGTTGTCGTCAACGTGCTTGAAATTTTACTATTAGGTTGGAAAGAAAGTTCTGCGACACCCTTTCTAAACTTTTCTTTTTTTCTGAAAAATACATGGGTAACATTTAAATGACTAAACAAAGCGGTAAGAGCATTCTCTTCCGATCTTCCACACGGTGGATATAAGTGCTGCAGTCCAGTACTTATCCAAGAAAATTCAAAAAACCTCGACCACTAGCAAATCCGTACTCCGAGTCACTGTCTAGTACAAATGTCTCCATAACTATGGATTCGTGTCAACGACCGACACTATCTGCAATAGCTTCAATAGGCATGCCGTTCACCGCTACAGCGTGTTTCACCTTTACCAGCGCTTTCGATCTTTTGATATTTTTATAAGAGCCAGCAGCGTCCCGCACACTCCATTACAGATAGGGCTCTTACGGAAGCTCCACTACAAATTCTTCGTTATGGGCACCATTGTGTAGGTGGAGGTGTAGGCTGCGAAACTCCAGAAGCTGGCCGAGGCAGCTCTTCAGGAGCCCTCGTACCGCGACAATATTTATTTCTTTCATGACATTGCAAATCGCCATAATCCGGAATTAGCCCGGTAAGAAATTCTGGAGCTGCGGCAAGATTTCTTACCTCTCTTAGCGTATTCTCCTGCTCGAGCTGCAAATGACTGCCACCTATCCTAAACCTTGAATCATCACCTTGATGACGAAATAATTAGACGATCAACTCCAACTCGAAAGTGAGGTCGCCTCCTTTCTCGACCCGCACTCCGCTGGGTTTTGGCAAAGGAGCATCAAGAAATTTTCTGAGCGTTGAAGACAAGTGGTGGACACTCATGGTAGATATAAGCAAAAAGAAGTTGTAATCTAAAAAGATAAAATTAAAATGTTGCAGACTTGCCTTTCAAACTCTAAATAATTTGGGAACTATTTTTTAAATATTGCCGGTTTGGAACTATTTTTAAATATCTTCGGTTTTCGATAAATATGCAACCGTGGCATATAAGAACCAACTTTTATGTTTTTAAGATTTTCGTCATCAGTGTCTATTTCTTTCGAACTCTACCATGCTCCACTGTTGTTGCTGGTACTGTTCGCAAAATGTCTGGTCTACAAGACAGTTGCTGAAGATCTCAACCCACGCGTCAACGAGATGTCATCAAAAGATGAGGATGACGCCGACGAGGAGAAGGTGAACTCCTTGTTACGACTATTTTCATCTATCAACGTGATAAATGTGCATGTGCTTTTCTAATACTTCCTTTCATACCTGTGGAGATGCGATATCCATGCGATTCTAAATATACTCCAGAGCTGTTTCTATAGCGCCTATCTATTCGCCGAGCCCCAAAAAATGCGCGCTGCAACGACCGCAATATCGCCTCTTTGCCATAACTCTGCCTCCCAACGAAACTTAGCTGCAGGTAGCGGCGTGCTATTTCCCATACAAAGTGGGTCTCAGGACATCTGTCAACCGTGAGGCTTGGCGGTTCAGCGTTTTGTAGTGATGTCTGGGAGCTCTCACAAGTGCACACTATCACAGCATCTCCTCTTTCTTTATCTTCTTCAAAAGGCTTAGTCCCAATAAGACACAAAGTGTGTGCTTTTCCAGCTACGCTCTCACCCTTTGGTTGACAGAAGCCTTGTAACCACCAAGGCGCTAGGGGACTGATTTATTTTAATAACCTCCTGTCCGCTCCTTCGGTGCTATTGAGGCCACTTTCGCATGAGAGAGTACACGGAAAAAATGGAGTGGAATCCAAATTAATCCTCGAACTGTCTCACAAGAAGGGCCTTGGAAGCATTGATCTAGAAGATCCTTCTCAGATTACTAGTCTTTATACGCAAACTGCTGCATGTTGCCGCATAATCGTGGTACTCAAGATTGACGGTAAAGGAAAACTGGGCTATCCGTGACGCGCGTAGGCTTCAAGGAGGATTCTACGATAAGGATGAAAGTCGAAGAAGGGGAAACCTACCTAGTGGAGACAGGCGGACCTCCTAAGGGTGCGGACCAACACGCAATTCGCATCGAAGGATATGCCCCGGCGATCTAGCATGGCCTTCCCTTTGGCGCGTTGGCCGGAACGCCCACCGACTATCTATCACTCGCCACAGGTCATACGCGGCAACTATTTGGATCTGTTTGGTTACCTTTTCATCGTAAAATCCGCCTTCAAATGTGCCTGGCACGGTCTACAGGCTTCTTCACTCAGTGCTACGAAGGCACTTGATGCTCGCCAGCGCTCTCTTTTCTAGATAGCGGTCGTGACCGCAAACTGCCTTCATGTCATCGGCTCAAGTATCTGTTTTGCGCCTTTGATGCTGCGGTAGGTACTCTTCTAATCGACTGCAGACTAGCCCTCCCGATAGAGAATTTGGAGGAAATTTTAGAGAAAAGAGTTAATGTTTGTCGAAGTGGAATGTTGTGTCTAGTTACGTCCGCATGTTGCTGTGATCCATTAACCCAATGCAAATCAGTCTACTTGCTAGGTCCAGCTCCTTTCAGCGCTACTTGTAAAATTGCAAGTCGCTCATTCCCTTCTAGCAGCCATACCACCGTAGTCCTTGTACACAGTTGTAGTGTGCCTGTATGGTGTCTGTGTGTCTCTTTCAGGTACAGTGGACAGTAGGGGAAAACCCCAAAGCGAAATAGGTCCGTGCTCACAACGTCCACGTCCAAGTCGAAGGATAAGGAAGTGTGTCAAACGTCTCATAGATAACTAACATTGCATGTGAAACCAACACCTTTTTATCGCTCTCTGATGACTCCCGCAACGATTATGCTTGCAGTGTTACGGGAGTCTACGTGATGTAGTTAACCTAGGGTAATAGAAGCCTCACTTTGTTTTTCTTCAGTCTTCGTCAACAACCATAAGGGACACGTTGTCGTCGGTACAGGAAACATTCGGCCATCTGTGGCAATAATCCACTTCGTTTCATCTATGTGCTTATTCTTCAGGCGGTACGTAAAGTGAGTTCAATAGTTATTACCACGTTACTAGATATTATATTCATATAGTAAATCATGGGGCGGAACGTGTGTAGTGGCCAGTGACCCTGGTGCGCTTACGGCGACCGCCGCGGTCCGTCGATCAACTCGGCTGGATGGTGAGTTCGCCCGGATAAAAGAAGCTCCTTCGCCTCCCGGGGTCTTTTAATGATAGCGCAGGCTTGTTCTGGTGAAGATAAAGCATTGTCTTAGACATTCGGGCGGCTGCCGCAAGCATTGCATTAGCTCCATCCGCATTTCAAAGCACCACTAGCAGACATTGTAAAATGGAAGTAGTAGCGTGGGCTCGCAGCCCCAATACAGGGATTGATCCAAAATGGGCTTTATATGGCTTTTATATCTTTTGTAGTAACTATTGGGCACTGATTAAGATATTTGTAAGGCGGCGAGCTAAGGGGCAATTTCAATAGCCGGGCTGGGCGTACGCGCGGGTGCTAACCTTCTAATCGAGCCTTAGCTTGGTCAACTGGGCTTGGCAAATAATTCCGAGGCGTTAACCCAGTTGCGTACAACTACGTTTGGTGTCTATGAGCATGGAAAACCCTCTTTTATCCTCTGGTCATTGTATAGGCTTAGTCGTCATCAAGCACGACTTCAATTTGGAAAGAAAAGCAGAGCGCGTGGCGCATCCTGAAAAAGATTGATCTAAACCGATTGCTTTGGTTTTTATCACTTCTTCCTTTGTCTGTTTTATTGCAGATACAAACATCGTCACAGCAGAAGGGGCGCAAAGACTGCTTTTCGAAACTAAGACGAAACAGAAAAAAAGCGAAGCAACCAGTGGTGGAGAGCTGAAAAGTCACTCTGCCCATGACGTAAATAAACAAAGTCAACGACGCGCAGGGAAGAACAGAAGAAGAGAGGTCTCCTGAAAAAAAAAAACTCCTAAAACGCATCTCCAGAACCCGAAATTAAAGCCCAGGCCCATTATCCCAACCATTCCCTTCAACATGAACAAAAAACACATCCCCACTCCCTGCGCCCAGTGAGGTCTACGGTAATTGTCTCGAAGCAGCTAGGTAGATCGAGGCACTGGTTGGATGGACATTTGATGGTCCATGATCACAGCGCCATACTCTCGGAGGTCAATTCATTCGTCGTTAGCTGTTGGGTAACCGGAGCTTCTTGAAACAGGAGTATTGACCTTCTTATGATGCTTAGGCAAAAGAAATCCAGCGCACGCGGGGCCGTACGCTATCCTTCCTTCACAGTCCCGCTCCCTGAATGATATCCTTTCTAGGTTTAGGATAGGTTGGGACGAGGCTCCGCTATGGGACCCACGATAGAGGCTTCGATGGCGTATCGACCGTCTTCCGCTGGAGCACTACATCATTTGAGGGACGAGTTGCTTTCACTTCTCTCTAAGGTAGCTACGCAGAGGTATGGTGGATCCTGCGACGCAACTTCATCTCCCTCAACCTTGGGAGCGTTAGAATCGAGGGAGGGGATGCGTCTCACGGGAAAGACAGCCTGAGGCTCACATATTGTTTTCTTTTTTACGTTAGCACCATAATCAGACTTCAAGACCGTTGAAACTTTTTGCGAGTCACACTCATAAAGGGCGGAAGTGGTGTAGTGGCAAGTGGCACGCTTACCACGCGAGCGGTCCAGGGATCAAATCCTGGGTCGTGAGTCGCCCGGGCCAACCAAGCCTTATGCTTTGCACTCATACAGGCGTAACTCTTGGCCTTGACCTATTCAAGTGGTGATTGTAAGCAGAGCTCATAGCGACTATACGAGCTTGAAAAAGCCGAGCACATTGTTGAACTTATGAGCTTATGTTCGGGACAAAATTTTCTGCGATCGTTCGCTCATAAAGCCACTATGGAAGCTATCAACGCATTACTCCCCTTCTATTTCCCGATGGGAGCATCCAGCTTGAGCTAACAAGTGTGATGCTTTCCTTGGGTGGGCGAACACCCACTCCAAGTGAGCCAATGCTTCGCTTGACCGCTGCGACCGCTGCCATTCTTATTGATAGCACCAACGTGTCGTCTCCACCTTCTTGCTACGAGGTGCTCTCTCGCGTCCTTATTTCTCGCGACGGGGTGTCTCTCCGTCGTATCAGTTGACCAGAAATTTCAGTTTTTGATGGATTTCGTTTAATATTCTTTCAACGCCGCACTTCGCGATGCTAATGTTTTACACGAATGCTGAATTATGGGCAAAACTCTCGCCTTCGCAAACTTTTGTTGTTTGCTCATAATGTCAGCATTATTTTTGAAAATCTCAGTGTTTTCTATCGTGCTCTTTGCTTTTTTACTACCTAACTTTTCTCTCTGCATTTTTTTACTGTTTACTTTTCTCTTCATACTACTTGTCGAACAAAAAACAAAAATTTTTGAACAAACTGATACACCATTATGATCCTGACCCGTGCCTTTAAGTCTACTTCAGAAGAAGATGACAAATTCTCTTGCGTGCATGGTTGTTGAGGTGTAAACCAAGTAAGGATGACCACAGCGCTTCTAAGTGCTTTATGTTTTCAGCAGTTTCAACTTTACTCAACCGTGGCTATCATGGCTTGCAGTCGGTGTTCTCACTGTCGCCACCATACTGCTGTATTTCGTGCCTTTACGTTGGATCATCATGGTTTGGGGTAAGGTTTTGGTTTTTGAATTTTTTGTATCGTCCGACATAAATTCTGCTGATGACCAAACAATCTGTAAATCAATAGAGATTTCCAGGTATCAACAAATTCACCAAGAAGCTGCGCAATCCTAACTTTATCGACAACAACGAAGTGTTGGACTATCTGTCCAGGGTACCGTGTGATAAGGATCTGGTGAGTCAGTAATTGCAACACTTCCAAATGTGCCACGATGGGTCACACCACGCGACGCGCACGCTCGCCGCTGGTCGCGGGCGACAAAATTGCGCGTCTTTGTTGAGGCAGCAACCAGGGTGAGACCAAGTGCCAAGAAAATTTTGGTCGGTGCGACTTTTTTCTTCGCTCTCCGATGATTGGTGATCGCAGCAATGAAGTCAGATCTAGTGCTACGTGACCCTTGTCAAACTCCTGCACCCCGAAACTTCATAGTGCATGAGGCAGCAGGGGAGGGCCGAGGAGGGG